AAGAATAAATATACTTTACCCTTAGCCACCAATATACAAGTATGATATTGGAGACCGAAATATGCTTCCAAAACGAGAGTGATGTTGCACGAGTTTGATCCACACCTGTAATGGAGTCTCTGGAGTTGGGTGAACAGCAGATGAAATTCACCATAGTGGTTGTGCTAGTAGAACCGGAATTTCAGTCACATTAGTTTGAAGTCCCCGGTCGAGAAGTACAGTTGGGGGAGGCGACTGGGGATGGTGGTTGATTGGTAGACATGGTCACAGATCACAGCTCTGGACCAGCATGACGTGTGCAAGCGGTGGTAAGGTAATTGGAGATGGATGTTGTTTGAAAAAGGAGAGATTTCGGTTTCAATCAGAAATGGGGCAAACGAAGATGAGGACCAAAGGAACTGATTATCATAATCTGAGTTCGGTGAGGTTCAAGTGTAGTGCGCGACGGCACTCCGAGCTTACAGTGTTATGGAGCTTGTCACCTGTTAGCCGCGAGATACACTCAGGCAGGTATTCGATACATGAATACCCGTGATCTATAGCCAAGACCGGGCACTCGATATGCGAATTGTAACACGACCAGTCATCTGTGCTCTCCTGGTGATCACTGGGGAACAGTGCTCGTCGTATTCCAGAGGCCTTTTACTATCAATCTGCAAGGTATAGAAAACAACAGAAAAGCCAACATGAACCAAAGGTCCAGTGAAACATGCACACGACTCACAATCATATCAAAATAGCCGCGCTACGGCTGCACATTACAATGCGCATTACACAAGTGATTTAAGTCGCTGTCGCCTATGGTTCGACATTTGGACCCCAACGAATAAAAACATCAACGTTGCTTTTCAAACTGCGAATGTTTGTGAGTAGAAGGTTTGTGATTTGAGTGCATGATATTTCCCGTAATGTTGGTTGAGTCATGAAAGAATGACGGGACTCGCGGTGATGAACCACTGAAGGTTTCAGCGATGATACTGAACCGGACGGGGGTACAGCCGTCTACTATCATCTAATACGCACCACGTGTTCTGAAAGCTTTCTATTGCCTGTTTATTGTGTATCATGTTTTCTACCTAAATGCATTTATATCCTNTGCGAGTAGTTTCGTATGGTGTTACTTCTGTAATGCGAAATTCCTTTGTTATCTTGCTTAAAAGTGTTGCGGTCAAACCTGGATAATCAGTTTGTTTTTAGACGATGGCTTCGATTTGGGGTTTTAAAGCTGGAATGCATTTTTCGACATGCTGGTAATCATTAAAAAAATTGTTCAGTGATAATTTTCTTGTCTCGTTTCCATCCAGACCGGCCGCGAGTAGTGAAANAACGTACATTGAAGTACTTTGTTGGCATTCTAAATCGTGCTTGGATTGTAAACACACAATGGTTGCACGATTCCATCGAGGCTGGGATCATTCTGGACGAGGTATTTCGAATTGACTGGTAACATGTCTACCATATGTAAAAAGCACTCTTGGAGAGCATATCAGTCAACTTCGTTTCCCGATGGGTGATGTGTGTAGTATTTTTCGATTTCGCATAAAGATAGAGACACTGAATCCACCACTTTGATATTTCTCCAAATTAATGTTTTCCAAATGTTTTTATTCAGTTATAACGTTATTTATATCGCAGCTGTCAGTTGAAAAACATTCTATAACATTCATACATTCCTGCCACGTTTCGTTTGATAATTCTGTTGGAGCCATCTCACCCCTCTAAAGCTTTTTGATGCTGTGTATGTCAAGAATGGGGTTAGTTACATTCATAATATATTTCGTTTTTTGGCAGTTTCCCATGATTCTAGTAGGTTAGTTACGTAACTAAATCCATTTATATTATTGTAACCTAATGCGAATTCGGTATGCTAATCCGGTTAATTGTTTCACCACTGGTACTTATTTCAGAACCAGTTGCGATCATTCCTGAAATTGAATCTTGTTTACGAATTCGTGATAATATCAGTCGATGTGTGTTTTATGGTGTTCTTTATCGTTTCAGACCCCATACGAAATCGAAGGTGACACAGTCTGTGGGGATCGCCATGAAGGTCCACGCCGTGGCCGCCTCAATGTGCCGGCTCAGCCACAGCGCTCGACTGGATCTCTACCTGATCAAACTGTCGATGGCCCTCAAGGTCCGTTTGCTGGCCTGTGGCTTTGTGCTTTCGGTAGTCTGGGCTTGCTTAGTCTTTCGGACTTCATGACCCTGGCATTGGATGGTGGTGCTTCTCGCGTATTCGAAAAACCAGAATACCTGACCACGGCAGTGGAGAGCTACTTGAAATCGGAATGCGCAAAGAATACTGGTGTCCGTCGACCTCGGGCTATGATCCTAACAGATCAAAATCCTCCGGATTTCGATGCTTCTAAGTGTCTAGGTAATGTATGCAAGTTAACTAACCACTCGGTCCAGCTGTATGTTTTCTTTATGACGATTCGCACTCCAGTCATTAACTGACCGGAGGCATTGTGACCAGTCCGGACAAATCACGAATGACTTTACTCATCCCAATGGATGAATTTTTGATTCAACGCATACCGTGGTCATACCGTCACACACACAAGTTATGCAGAGCGTCGTAACTTGAAGAGTGGAACGTAGCGTGACATCGTGAGAGTGGTTATTGTTTACCTCGGAGTTTATAGAAAGCTGTTCCGGACTGGTACATTTTCTATCAGAAACTTAGAAAGATGTAAACGTAAATATCGCACAGCCATGATG